CAAGAAACACAAACCATTTCCCCCATCCAGAGGTCGCGATGGAATGTATTGTGTGGTCGCAAATTGTATGGCCAAACAATCGGGTGGCCACGTGTCTGGTAGTGTTCATATGATATTGTGGTTTAGTTTTGCATACAATATAAGAATATATTATTATTGAAAAGTAAAATAAATACCAAGAAAATTGATTGGAATTATAAATTTGGACAAAATATCGGCCAATTTAATCTATGTTTCAATTAAACAGAAATTAGTAAACATATATTAATACAAGTTTTGTCTAACCTCTCGATTAGTCCATTGAGTCCTGCCATACATGGGTGTTATGAGCGGCACAAACACTTCACAGCCTCTGACCGCATCGTTTAGAGAGTCGGCCCAATCAGTACCCGTTTGAATCTCATGCACATCCTATTTATTACATTCATTCGTTAATTAACAGAAAAAGTAATTTGTGAGTATTTAAAAAGCATAATCCATACCAGATATACACTGAATCCCAATTCCAACAAATGGTCCTTTAAATCCAACGCGTGTTGAGACGCCTCTTGTCGACAATAGGACAACATGACTACTTTTCCTCCCTTTCCCGACGACTTAATCCGAACCAATTTACTCTTCTTAATGGTTTGCGTTTGTCTCACACTTTCAATTCAATTAAACGATTAGCAAATCGTAAATTATTTTGTGATTCATTTAAACTTTATATTTACCTAAAATTGGATTTTCTGATTGATTTGCCACTACTTTTGCTACCTTTCTCTGGTTGCATAATAGAGTCAGTTTGGGTCATATCTAGTGTTTTGTATGTATTATTATAGCTGAGTTCTTCGGTGACCTGCGATTTGATACCATTGAGGGCCAGGAGTTGTGGCATCTCTTCTAACCCTCGATTCGTCTCTCCATTTGACATTATATTTGACAGTTTTATTGAACCGCTTTGAATGCATATGTTTTGGTTAACTATGATATCCCAAACCGAGAGAATCGGTTCCTGGTTTGTGGCCACCGGCCAACCATTCCTCTCAATGAAAATATACTCAGTTTTCTTATTCTTTAAACCAATTTCTTTGAACTGATTGTCGATTTCATCTCTAAGTTGTCTCAAATTCCATAAATAATCAACAAATATGAATCCATAACACTCTCCGTTTGTGTTTATGATTCCTAATCGTGGCTTATCTTAAATGGAAGTCGAAAATATATTTTAATTCAATTCTCTCTCTCTCTCTCTCGCTCTCTCTCTCTCTCTCTCTCTCTCTCTCTCTCCTAAATAAATATAAAACTTTAAAATTACCGAATGCTTTGCGAATAGTAATGATATTATTTTGTCCGATAATATTAAAGGCGAAAATTTTGCTTTCTTGGTTTCTTAATACTGGCCATCTATTCGTGAATTAAAATTTTCACAATAAATTAATTTAAATTTTATCAAAATCATAGTATAGAAATTAAACAGGAGAATAATTTGCATATAACGTAAATAACAATAAAAATCGATAGTAAAAAATTTTGATGAAACAATTTACTTCATAAACTAATAATGCTAAATTTTACATTTAAATTCTCTAATTTCAACTACTGTAACAAATTCTGTTTCTGTATCCTATAATGTAATCCTTTATGCGTGTATAGGAAGGGATGTTGAGATCTATATGCATACAAAATCATGATTCATGCCACTATAATCAGTATATTTTTAGAGACATTATCTCCAAACCGAGACTTATTGTGAGTAAAATTCCAATACATGTCACATGTGTTTATTGTGATTATTGAAACACAAAACTGGTTAAACAGTTCATAAAGTAATTAATATAACGTACACTATGTTTGTGTGTTTCACTCATAATATTGCATGAAATCAAAGATTGTGTAATTTCTCAATTTCTAGAAAAATTTTAAGTAAAGTAAATATGTTTTCTCGCTAACAAATATATTGTATTCAAGATTAAACCCCTAAATGCAATATTACATTGTTCAAAATTCTCCATGGGCAAACTACTGTATTGCGAAATGCCACTTATATCACTTATAGCAATATTAGTAATACAATAATACTGTATGTATACTGTAGTAAGTTATCAGGTTTTGATGCAGCTATTACAAGGCCTTTAATAACGTGCTCTCACAATAAGTCGCTCTCACGCTCCCTCTTTCTGCCCCCCATTGACTGAACCCATACAAAAGCATTCATACACACCCACAATATCATCTAATAATAAAGAGGGAGCGAGATAATGTGAGAGCGCCTTATTAAAGGACTTGTTATACTGTAGCTGTAATACAAAGGGCATATGACTAATACTCTGTTCTCACGAGCTTTACTTAAAACTTAAAACTTTACTTTTTAGTTTGCTAACTTAAGTGCGATTTGCGTTCTCATTAGAATTGTTTAAGCTAATGTCTCCGAATGCCATTCACCACAATTGTCATAAGCCTGCGGTCAGAAATTTGTCTATAACTCCGGTGTTTGTGGCGATTCGCATGTTTTGAGACAGGAATACAAGTCTCCTTATTTTTGTGGTCACCACTATATCAATTTAAACCGCATAAAGATATTTCCTTTTTAAGAATACATTTAATGATTAACAATCATGTAATCTACTAAATAAAATGGTCATGAGCAATATTATATCTATTGCAAAAATCATGGCTATATTTATTCACATTATCATTTAATTATGTAAATAATTTTCCCAATTAATATTATATTAATAGAATTGATATATAGAAAGATACACTTAATTCTATTGATAAAAAGTATATCATATATAGATTTGATTAATAACGTATTACAATTTTTCCCAATAAATTATTGCAATTAAAAATTCAATTATCAGAATAAACACGTTTAAGTGATTTCATTCATTCATCCATCAGTTTAATCGATGGGTTTTATAAACGATTAAATTAATCATAAATTCATTATATAATTGAATATCTTTAGATTGTAATTTACATTATTGCAATTAGTTATGTAACAAAGCATAAGTTAGTACTTCAATAAAAGCATATTATGGGTTTATTAACGGTAATAAACTTATATTAATTTCATTCGCTACTAAATTAAATTAACTAGACAAAAGGCAAAAGCAATTTAATAATATATGAAATGACTAATTATCTGATGTAATGCTTATAATAATAATTTAATAAATAAATAGAAAATGGGTTTTATTAAACATATATTCAAGATTATACAATTAGTCAATATGCATTAAATAGCAATGATCATTTAAATATAATACTGGGTGTTAACTTTTAACATAGTAATACGGGGTATTGCTTTTAGCTGGGTAATTTAAGATTACAAGTAAAAATAAAATATTCTGTGTTTAGTATTTTATTATAGAATTATAAAAACAAAAATTTAATTGTCATAAATTGATGATAACGTCTGCACACAATTAAAATAACAAATTGATGAATATATAGCTAATAACTAAATCTTATTATATATTATATCAATTGTATTGTTTTCAAAAATAATTCAAGAATTGCAAGCGTTGTGTAAATATTTAGCATTTTAAGGGTTTATATAAGATTTAGTTGTTTTCTGATAAACATTTTGATTATTAGATGATTGATTGGGGATTTTGTAGTTTTGCTTATTTGAATAAAATGACAAAATATTACAAATTATGTTTTTTTAAATGTTTATTTGTAATTATATAAATACCAAGAAAAATATTTACGTTATTAAAAGTTATTGTATAATTTATACTATTTATAGGAATCCTTCCTGTTTTTTATAAATATTTAATATGATATTAATATATGTTTAAAATATTAATACATTTCAAGTAATAAATATTAATATGAAATTAAAAAATCATAAAAGTTGCAAATGATTCTGTAATCGTGTCTAACATATAATAATATTCTGTAAACTAAGAATTATGCAAAATTCTTAATACATTTAAATAATTATTATATAATTACAATATATTTTTTATAATAAACCAAAATCGTTATGAATTTCCATTATAGCGACAAAATATCTCTACCGTTAAAATGAAGGCAACATTGAACTGAAACTAGAAAGCGTTTCTTAGAAATACATTTTTATATACAGTATAATAATTCAGTGTTTGTTATAACACAAGTCTAATATATTGAATAAAATTATATCACAATCTAATCACAAAACTCAGTGGTATAATAAAAACGGCGTTCTTTTGCTTTTAAAATAAAATAGTTTCGAGATTTAGTTACCAAAGAATTGTCTCTCGTATACCATATATAAAAAGTGAACAAATAAATCATATCTGAAAATTAAATAATGTATTTTTTCATTCTATACAAAGACCTTGAAAATGGTGGGAATGACAGCTTAATAGATTAGAAATAATTATTGTTAACATAATTTAATTAATAAATATCTTCCACTTATATATGTTTTACATGTCTAATGAATTAAGTTATTGTCAATACTTCTGTCAAATTTGAATTTATTTTGCTATTTAATGCATATTATTGTTATTTTTAAAGGTATAAACAAAATCATAATAATTAGATATATATTTCTAAATCAGGTTAAGTGTAAGCGATTGAATGGCAAACATAATGTCATATATGAGTTAAGTTCCTGTTCCTAATCACGATTCAGAAAAAGCAAAACTTGAAAAACAACACAATTTCTCTATCCTTAAGGCAAACATTGAAATCAAAATAGACTCGCATTTCAGCGATGAGTCCAATAAATGCGGATTCGTTTGTATGTAAAGCATTGGTTCAGTGGTTATGGTTTTGTAACCCAATTTAGATACAAATAGTATACAATTCAATCACTTCTTATTATATATCAATTGTTAAATCAATTCATATAAAAATTTCCCTCAATTCTCGCTAAATATTTTATATTTTGCTATTTATTGTGCATTTTTAGCAATGAATAAAAAATGCACGCATTTTGTAGTAATACTATTGTATGGATTGGTTTTATCATTAATATTGTCATTACTTAATACCATATAATATTGTGTTGTAGTGAAGTCTTGGGTCGATATTTCGATCTAAAATTTCGAGAATTTCGATCAATATTTAGGGCTAATTATAATATATTGTTGTAAAAACTATTTAAAGTTTTTGCCTGAATATAAAGTAAATAAAAATTCTTTAAAAAAATTTATTATAAATGATAGTAATTTTGAAATGAATTTATTTCCAAAGTCATGCAATTGTTGATCAGATAATGAACTGTTTTATGGTATTTGATGTCAAATAAAAGATAATATTGTTTTCAATATACAATGGTTTATATTTATTCAGATTTATTAAGTGCTGTATTTATACGATAAATAGACTATAGACTGAAGTGTTCCCATAATATCTACAGTAAAACACAAATATAACACAATTACTGTATATTTTGTAAAAATATTTGGTAATCAGTTGTCGTAAAGTTGTCGACAAAAGTTATTTTATTGCAAAATATTATTGCAATTAATATAACCATTAAATCATAAAAAATTTTCGATATAAAGAATTCAAATCAAAAATTCATTAAATATTTAGTAAATGGAGAAAATGTTGTTTGGATTTTGTTTGGGAAAACCCATTGAGATGTTCGTCATTAACAGATGGGATTCAATACTCAATATAAACTTCGATTGCATTTACATTAATGGACAACAAAAATAAAACAATACTCAACTCAATAATACAATTTAATTTAATTTAAACTTATATTTAGCATAAAAACTAAATATTCTTGGAATGAGTGGAATAAAACTCATTATATTATTATAAACAACAATATATAATACGCTTTTCAGTTCAATAAATAATAAAATGCGATAACTTTAACAATAATACACATAACGCTAGTTATACTTTGAACACCTCTTATATCATGTGATAATTGACTTCACTATAGAGTTATGAGAATTAAAAGTATGTAAAAAAGAGACAAATTTAACACATTTTTACATAAAATGTTATTTTTTCTCGACTAATATAAAGTAAAAATGATAGACAAATGAAGGACACAAAACATACCCTTCTTTAGTAAGAAATGAGAACTTTTGCTGCGAATCCCAAATAGAGGAGAGCTGTGTCTGAAGACACCGTCGGATCTCTTCGCAGGAATAGTTGTTTCGATTCAATACAACTGCTCCTAAAATGATGGAGTTCTTGGAGATGGGCTCCAATTGAAGGTTTCGCTGGGAGTTTGCAAATGAAACTCTTTCGTCAACGACTACTACACCGCAAACAATGGTATTCTTGTGGTTAGCGGTGTTGTCGTGATTGTTGATCGTATTGACAGTTCCATCGGATGAAGAACGGGATGACATGTCGTGATTATCGTATGATTCTGAGACCATATTTACATGAAAAGTATGAGTGATCTCTTCTAACTGTTCCTCAGAAACGTTGGCCAAAATTTCATTGATTGGGAAATTGTGTTGAAAATTAAACCTAGAGTTATGTCTGTCTTCAGGTGTGGAAGTGTTGTCAGTGGTCTGACTGCTATAAACCGGTTCTCCGTACCGACTGCTGGGCACGTCTGGCATTACTTCACACTTGTTTAACAATTACTTCGGGCTTTTCAGAGAACGTGTCAAATAAAAAGTAAATTAAAAAACGACAATAAAAAAGTTTCAGACGATTTAAATTCAATGTTCACATTGTGTGCAATAAATTGATTCAAACGAAAAGCAAGTGCACCAAAGTATTCATACAATATATGCTATTCATTCAATGGGTTGTCAGGACTGAAGAGCTCATCCCACCCTCTGTTTAGCACAACACTTGGGTAACTGGTATAGTATAGTCATCATTGGGTACAACCACTGACTTACTATTGCTGTACAATTGCGCAGACATATTCAGTACGCAAAACTTTTTATCAATACATATAAAGTATGTAATGCTATGTTTCTCAGGACATGAAATTATTGTCAATCTCTAGTTGTCTAAACTTTCTAAAGAATAACAATTTTATTAGTGATATATTAATCAGTGATANTGTTATAATTGATTGGATTTCATATAATGGAGTCATTGTATAAATATTTCTCTTTTTGGTCGCTTTTAATCGAAATCGGATTTATTGTAGGATTTGATGCAAATTTGACACAAGAAAATGATATGACAATTAATAGGATATACAACTAATTGTATGATTCATTCAATTATTTGACAGAATTGATAGACTATTGTTTTAATATTAAATAAATAAATGTCTCATTACGTGAATGATTGTTACATAAAAAATACTATATTTCTAGAAATTCATTGTACTTTATATAGCCTTATCATAAGTTATGTATGAATTGTACAACAAAGTTATAGTTTACATGATTGTATTTATAAAATTCTTATCATGGTGATCCAAACGGAAATGTATTAATATACCTATTTTTATGCATTTCATAGGTTTTTGTAAAGGCATGTTTCAATTTGAC